GGTGCATACACCACCAAATTTGGAGACCTTAAAATTTCAAGCTGGCAGGGCTTGTTCATGTTATCATCAACTGAGAAAACACCTGCAAAATTCAGAGTCACCTGGATTTTGTAGTCCAGGTTTAAAGTCAGTGGAGTAGGACAGAGCTCTGCCTGCTGGTCTTACTCCACGGCCTCCTGATCAGCTTCCTTATGCATCCACAATATATATAAATAAATATATGCATATATACTGCTCTCCCAAAACTGTACTTTCAGGGGCTGAAACCATAGCTACTGTGGGTTAAATACATCAGTTGCTCTGACAAAGACATTTGGTTGAATTTTAAACAGGAGGCCTTTAGAAATCTTAACCATCAGAAAATTTTAACCATCAGTGCGTAACAGCTTCTAGGACATTCCCCACCTTGTAACATTTAAAACAATGATTCATCTTCATAAGAAACATGTAACTGTCTAGAACTAGCTCTCAAATAACTTTAATTATCTGTATGGTCTGTGTTTCAGCATATGCGATTTCCAGCTACCAACACTGGATGCTATGAAAGCTTTTGCATGACATCAACTTTCCAATGAGCAGCCATCTATAAAATACATAATTTTTAATCTGCATTTGATCGCCACAGCTTAAAAATCACAGAATTTCTGAGAGCTACAAATAGTTTTTTGTGGAATAAAAGCCAAGATTTTTTGGTTTGGCTTGTCGATATTTCCTGAAAACATGAAACAATTCTGAAAGGACAGATTTCCTGGCTCACAGCTAAAGGTCAGCAGTCACACAGGGAGCGCTTGCTAACCGTACCAAAATGATTGGGAAGGAAAGACTGGCACAACATTGCAGTATTATTAAAAAGTTATTTAAGTGGGGAAAAAGGGAGAAAAGAGAGAGACAGACAAGGATTAGACTCAACAAGTGAGCCTTCATCAAGACTAGAAAAACAGCCTTGTTCCTTGCTGCTCGCAGCCCCTCGCTGTCACTCCAAGCACCGCTTGCTCTTGCTCCCTCTTTCCGCCCCCTCTGCCAGCCCTGCAGCCCCAGCCCATGGTGCCATCCCAGGCTGCGCTGGCTCTGATCTGACCAGGCATCACAAATCACTCCTCTGGCCTTTCCTGCACAGTCCGGAGTTTTTTCCAGGCTCACCTCTGTAGCAGATTATGGAGGCACAGGTTTCATTGGGAAAGACAGGAGTTCAAAAGTCCCATGACTTTGTGCAACACTGATACACAATTGTGTGATACGCAAAAAAAAGCTCATTTTCCCAAGGAATCTCCCCTAAATCTGCCCCATGTTTATAACTTGCTCTCAGCAAAATTAAAGAACCAAAGCACTTTACTGGCTAACTCCTGTTCTGCAGCCGGCAGAGGGGGCAACAGGCAGCTCTCATCGGTTTCTGGAAAGCATCTGCTTGAACAAAGTTCCTTGTCGAAGTATTTCATTTTGTAGTAACAGATATTGAAAATTTCTCATCCACTGAGATAATGCCAGTTTGAACAGAAGCACATTCTGCAACTGAAATCCGAGGCATATATAATGTTGGTAGCATCTTTAAAACAGTATTTAGTACCAGTCTCAATACAGACGGTCCTAGCTCCCTCCAACACTCCCAGTCTTGTTTTCATTTTTATTATTCCTGTTTTTCTTTCAATGTATGGGTTATGTATGTTTCCAGGCAAATCAACTCTGCCCAAAACCAACCTAGCAGCCTCCAGCAGGTCCCCACCACAGGCTGCGCACCCAGGTAACTACTCCCCCCCCTCCCTGCCTGACCAAGAGCCCTGGGACATCAAAATTAACAAAGAATTTGTGCATATAATCCTGCTAATGAAATACCACTACTCTGACCTCGGTGTCCTCCCTAACATTGACATAAGCTCCCATCACTCATAGTCTGTGCTTTTTTTTTTTTTTCATTTTCAAAATTAAAACCAACTGATTGTAGAGCAAAATAATAACTTTTCAGCTAAAAGGTTAACAACAAGCCAATGACCACATGTGTAGCTTAAATCTGATGCCCTCAAATCCTGCTAACTACAGTAAACTAAAGCAAAATAACAAATGCACTAGTAAGCAGCTAAGCAGTACCGTAGGCTGTTAAATTTAAATTTAGCCCTGGCAGATCCTGGAGGAAGGGCATCCCAGAAAGCATGTGCCCTCAGCTATGCAGAGACAGCACTCAAACCATAGGATCCTATTCCACATATATTACTTTTGTATATATGGCTACATCTATTGTATGTCATCCGTATTTCATAGATATATTTTGTCTAAAAACCCTCTGCATGAGATAAAGGACACTCTGCTCTTGGTCACAAAGTGTTTGCCCCAAAAGCTGCCAGTGAGACTGAAACAATAGATTGTAATTTCCTGCAACGGGACAAAGCTGTCACTCAGAACAGAGGCACTCTGACAATTTAGGGGTTTACAGATCACAGCCTGCAAGGATGAATTATTCTCCAAAGCAAAATGTTGAACACTAGCATGGAGAATATTACTTCAGAGACAGATTGCTGTAGCCTTGCTATTTTCTAGCTGGAGCTTCAGGGCAATTTGCAAGTAGAGACTATTGCCATGATCAGTGGTGAGATTACAGGAGCAAGATTTGCTGTGATGAATCTAAAAAAAGACAGCTCCAGGCCTAAAGTTCAATGTGCCACACCTGCTAGCAAAGAATATATGAATAATCTGATCTCCAGGCTGCAAATACTACGAGAAATGCTTGGACGTCCCCATCGAGTGAAGCCTCCCTCACTATGTCCTCCTAAGGCCAAACAAAATTACTAATATGAACACAAGCTGTGCATCGATACCTTTGCAATCCCAAAACCCGCACTCTGTAAGATGCTGCTAAGGAAACCCAGCAAAACCAGGCATCTGGTGCCAGAAAGACGAGAACTCATCAACCTGACATTAAAAAAGTGTTTTATTGAACAGCTCTAAACACCACTATCTGCAAAAAGTCTTATTAACGGTGAGATTAGTAACAATAACTGGAACATAGGGTGGTTTCCATGACATTGTTTCAGCAGCTGAAGTGATTCCATTGCCCCATCACCAGAACACCCTCAATTTTAAACCATCTATGCAGGAGCTAAAGAAAAAAATAATAATACTGCTTATAGGTAAAGTCATGATTAAAACTCAGACACTATGATTTTTTTTTTTTTTAAATTATGTCTTGTATAAATTATAAACTCTATATTGATTGCAACAGTAGTTAAGCAAACTAAAAAGGTATAATGGGAGGAGAAGACATCTTCTTGGCCTTGTGGGCTCAAGTGAGGTTATTCCCACTGCAAAACAGCAATGATCTGTGCATTATGGTCTGTTAAAGTAATACTTTGGTTATTGAACACTTACTTTGTTTGATGCTTAAAAGAAACTTGGGTATGCACCACAGAAATAAAGCTCTTTTGTAAAACGCTGGGGAAAACACACACACACAAAAAAAAGAAGGAAAGCCCTTCCAGTTCTAATTGGTATCTCAACACAAGCACCTTCCTTTCATATATTTGATTTTGCTTACTGTTATTCCTATTGCTGTTATTATTATTAATCCACCAAATCACCGTGCTCATACTAAACCAGTTCTTCACCAGGCGATTTCTGCTCATCGATTAATCCTCAAAGCTTCCATCACATTTTGCACTCTTTTACATGACAGATGTAGAATTACATTCTTTTGAGTGCCTGTGGCAAAAATAAAGAGCAGATATACCAGGCAATGCTGTAACAGGCAGGGGAGGGAGAGGGTGCTGAGGCTGGTGAATGTTCTGCATTAAGCCCTGCAAAGGGCTGGATTTCAGAGGTCAGTGAGTGCGCTCAGTGGCAGCTACGCCAGGTCCCATTCAGACATCAGTCTGAGCAACCAGCATTGTAAGGCTCTTTTGAAAATCATGCTTATCGCTTTTTAAGGCAGGTGAAAATCAATTAATTTTGAGCTTTTAAAGGAATGCCTTCACTGTGGTCAACCCCAGCCACACGGTTACAATGCATTTTGCAGAGACACATTGCCTTTTCTTTCTATTCAGTGTAAAAGCACTTACTCTTGGTTATCGGCTCCCTGAAGGTCAGGCTTACTTCTTTAGATCTATTATTTACTGCTCGAAATTTCCAGTTCCACCTTTCTGGCTATTATAGCTTCTTTCCCGAACTCCTATTCTTTTCACGATAAGTCCATATGATGACTGTTGATAAAGTTAGGAGGACCGTGATTCTAAATGTCTGACCTTCTTCAAAATCTGATAATGGATACAGTTTCTGAATCATAGGTCACCTCACTTTTGCCAGTAAGCCATTTATTTCCAGTGGCCTTCAGACCTTGAGGCTTCCTGTGCACTGCAAAATGGATTCTTCAGGGAACAATAAAAAAGAGACATCCTTAGTCTTGTTTAGCACTTTAGGAGGGGTACTGTACTTTGGAGAGCATGTATGTCCACAACATCTTATGCACCACAGTCTCTAAGACCTTCACTGCTGTATAACACTTTTGGATGTTTGTATGAAGCTGGAAGAGTCTAATGTGAACTAACCTCCTTTTCATTTGCACTCTAAATGGGAAGGACAAGAAAAATCCATGCCTCCTTAAAAACCTCCCCATCTACTGAGGGCTATCCAGTCACCTTTACCATATTCTTCAACTTACGGCTCAAGGCACAGTGCCAATTTTTACATCACTACTTCAAGTGTTATGCTGCTGTGGTAAGACCCGATTACACCATGCTTGTAAAAGCTGTGCTGGTGCCAAGGTACACAATTTGCTGGTAAGAGTGCCTGCCAGCCTCCTGCAGTGGCTTTACTGAAATGGAGTTCTCAAAATGACTTGGTCTTCCAAAAACACTGACAGCAGTACAATTCCTATCAAAGGTCAACATCTCACACAAACTACTGAGTAAGATGCAGAGGAAAGCGTGTCAAACACGAATCCCTGGCTTGAACAGTGCTTGGAAAGTTAAGCAGCAAATAGATCCTGAGCATGGGGGAACCGAGCAGGTTTTACTTACTGTCAAAGCTTCTGTGCTGTGCTGTTAGGGCCACCTGCACAGAGCGACCAGCCTCTTTCATCATGGCTTCAAATTCACTTCGGCTTTTGTTTGCAAAGTTCTCCTCCATCTCGCTGGTGCAGCAGGTATAGCCTTGTGGGCAGATTCGCAGGTGCTCCCCTAAAATGAGAGAAAATGTAGTTGAATGGTCAGGTCTGGAAAAGGAAGGACTTCACTCCAGATAACCTCAGCATAAAAATATTCCAGCTCCCTAGTAACCTGGATCTGCATCAAGCTTTACTTGTTTACCCCCTAATTTGAGTTATCCTGCATCAGTATAATGGTTAGTGTGAATACAGATACAGTTCTCACTGCTGACTGTGAGGGAAGGAACAGTGAAAGAGATAAAATTCATACATGGGACAAGGAGAAGGGAGATACAAGTGTCTCCTGCTCAAAGTCTGCCCTAGAATCCAGCTCTGCCTAGAATCCCAGGGGACACTGAAGTCTCTGATTAAACAACATCAAAACTGTCCTCACTAGACTTCCCATGTATAGTAGAACAACTGTTTGAAACTACTTCGTCAAGAAAAAAAAAAAAAAAATCAAACTTCAACACACTCCCCCAGCTCCCAAACCAGTCCCTCCAAACTCCTACCCTGAGAAGACATTTCCATAACCAGAGAGGTGAGATGAGGGAAAAGTTTTCAAAAGACACAGACGTGCTGAATGTCAGTGGAATTTGGGTGGCTAATTCCCCTCCACACATTTTGAAACCTGCCCATTTACTATTTTTTCAATGAAAAATTTATCTCCCAGAAAGAGACACTACCACCCAAAGAAGGGTTGCTATGACAAGCACTGATTGAATATATCCTTTACTATAGGGAAGGACAGGAAGGTAAGAGGACTCAGCAGGTAAATTGAAAAATTCTCCAGTATAAGAGCTCCTCTTGCCCTCTGGAATCTCTTTATTGTGGAGAAGCAAGCGTTTGCACAGGCAGAGTCAGCAACATTTTAAAAATAATTGCTTAAGTGCTCATGAGTCCTTACAAACAAAGGCACATCCACCTGCAAACACACCCTACGTTTCTCCTTACCCAGCAATAAGAATTAATTTGAATGAAATCAAACATCAGGGTTATTTTTTTTTAAATAATAAAAAACCTGCCTTGTTCCAAGCACACACTGAGATAAACCAATTACAAAGAAGTTACCGCGTTCAACATAATTTGACTGGGACTGTCAGATTTTGCTGGCAGTTTTGCAGGACTGATGTCTTAACGTCATGGCTGAGCTGAACCATATATTTAAAATCATGTTTTATCTTGTGTGTCTCGACAGCTTCAAATCCCGAACCTGCACAGTCCTCCAGAGTTT